CCCCCCTACTCCCGCCCCCCGCTGATTCGCCGCCCGCCCCAGTTAAAGAACCAGAGCAGCCGAAAGCGGATGACCTTGTTTGCACGGAACGGCGAGCACTACGTCGACCAGGCAGGGGCAGAGGGCGGCAATGGAAGGGGCTGCTGCGTACAATGACGGCACCCCCCAATGTAGGGAATGGAGCGGCAGGAGGAAGGACCGCCAATATAGCGGGAGGGCGGAAATGTGCGAGGATAAGAGGAAAATGGCGGGGNGGGGGGGGGGGGGGGGGGGGGGGGGGGGGGGGGGGGGGGGGGGGGGGGGGGGGGGGGGGGGGGGGGGGGGGGGGAGTGGCAAAGCAGATCGCGACGCTCTTATCAAGAACGTGCCCACGACCTTCTCCGCCATGTGCAGGGCACCAGCCCAAGTCGAGCGATATGAGAGGGGGACTGAGCTAAGTTAGTGCGACGGTTGGTTGTCCCGCCCCCCTTGGGGCTGGCTGCCTTGCATGCCATACCATGGGAGTGCGGGATGCCTGATTGTATCGTGCTGCTGCGCTGTTGGCGCGACTTGGGAGGTCAGGGGGGGGTGGGAGAGACAATCAGCAAAAAATTACATTTCCACACACGCACACTCATCAGAAGTGCTTGTATTGTACGAGTGACTGGTTTGACCGAGCGAGTGAGGAACACATTGACATTGCTAGCACGCTCCGGAATCTCTGTCTCCCTACGATCGTGGCGCGCCTTTTTGTTTTCTCGCCGCGAAGCAACGACAGCATCGATGCTACGCACGCTCGTATGCAACATGCACGAATTTCCGGCTTGTGGGGCTTCTGGCTCCCTCACTCCCTCACTCTCTCTCTCTCTCTCTCTCTCTCTCGGGATACTTGACGCCGGGTGACCGCGCAAGCGAGGGCGGCTAGAGGACGTGTAGCACAGCAGTAGGTCAAAACCTTGGATGGCCACCTGGCTTACAGGTTATCTGGGAAGTAAGGTGTGGTAGAAGTATTCGACCAGCAAACAAGAGAAAGAGAGGGAGGAGTGCTTGGCTTGTGGCGCGTGGCGCGTGTCCTGGCGTCCGTATTATTTCGAGTAGAAAATTGGTGCGCCCACAGGGCTTTCACACCATACCGGCAGAGGTCGCGCTCTGCCTTTCTAATGCTCTGACGTGACGTGAGAGCCAAGCTTGGGCCTAGAATGTGTTTGAAGAAGAGCGGCGGTGGGGGGGGGGGAGACTAGCGCTTGCCTGGCCGGGCCTAGGAGGCGGGGCAGGCGGGTGGATAAAATAGCGTATTCGTCACTGCGAACGACGCTGCTGCTCTTGTGTGGTGTGGTGTGGTCTTGAGGAACAAAAAAAAAATGGTGATTTGTTTGTAGATTGTGTTGTGTTGCACTCTTTCTTCTGTTGGCTGTACCAAAGAGGAAGCAGAGTGGGGATGATGTGTTGGTTGGATCATTGTTTTATTTTTATTTTGGCGTGTGTTGGTTGTGGTTTCGGTTTCGACTGGCCACAGCCCATCGAAGTA